ATGGGGGATTTAGGGGTTCTTGGGGGGCAATGCCTGATGTTTACAAAGTGGTGGTGTGGAGCGTGATTAGAGGACACTAAAAAATCTTGCTTGGTGTCCCAGGGCAGATTAGGTTCTTCTCTGAGAAATGCTAATGTGGGCTATCTGACGTCTGTGCCAAGCTTTGACCAGTACTTGCACTGCAGTGCTCTACTAACCTGCCATAAATGTGCTCAAGTAGACTGAGATCCTGTTTATAACACCAAAAAGCTAGATGGGCCTCACTATCTTATGATGTGGCAACTGTTAAATAAATTACAATCTCAATCATGTGATGTAATTAAGTGTATTAAGAAATATATTTAGGGGTGCCTAGATGGATCAGTGGGTTAGGCGTCCAGCACTTGATTTCGGTTCAGGTCATGATCTCATGGTTCATGAGATCATGCCCCACATTGGGCTCCATGCTGACAGTATGGAGCTTGCTTGGGATTTTCTCTCTCCCTCTCTCTCTCTCTGCCTCTCCCCCGCACTTTCTCTCTTTCCCTCTCTCTCTCTCTCTCTCAAAATAAATAAATACAAATAAACTTAAAAAATACACACACACACACACACATATATATATATGCATGTATATGTATTTTGGGGAAGGCAAGAAAAGTTCCAAGTTACACAGTTAAAAAGGGATAGAGAAGCATTAGCATAATATATATTTATGATCTCATATATATGTGGGTATGTGCGTGTGTAGATCTTGAAATCAGCTGATAAATGCCTGTGGGAGTCCAGGACACAATATATATCTCTAGAATAAACTGTAGTGAAGTGAAGGGCAGCAATGAGAGGCAAGAAAGAAGGTGGGGAGGGAAGAAGAGCCAGAAGACCTCTCAGTTTTTATTGTTTTTCTATCTATTCCAAATTTTTATAACATTTATGAACTTCATTTTGTGATTTAAGGAAGAAATAATGCCCATGAAGCACTAAGCACAGCATCTGCCATGTGATGGCAATAAATACTAATTGACTCTTATGATGACAAGAAAACAGGACTCACCCCAAATTATTTCAGTCTGCATACAGTGTCATAGCGACTGTTATAAATGCATGTTTTCTCTCTCTGTCAAAAGGGAATGAAATAAATATCATAAATTATAATCAATAGATTTTAGGGTAAGTATGTGTTCTGTTTATTAATTATTTAGAATTTAATCATTTAAAGCTAAGTTTTGCAGAGGAAGCCTTCCAAATCTAGATAGCTTAAGACTTTGCTTAAGCACCAGAAATTTCCAATCAACTTTTATGGTTTTATCTTTGGAGTACTAAACTTTAAAAATATTTAACATTCAAAGATCATTATCCAGTTATCTATTTATTATTGAAAACCAGGGTCAAGTCTTTTTTTGTGTGTGTGAAGTCCTACCTCATAATAACCAATAGTCAGTAAATTGAATTTAAATTTAATTTTGTAGGGCCTTTATTAAAAAGAATTTGAAATGCTGTAAGTAGATCATCTTTTATTATGTTCATTTAGTCATTCTTGTTTTTATGGAAAGTTATGAATAAATTACATTGAAAATCAAATTGTTTTTTGAAATGTACTAAGGAAATACTTTATGATGAATCTCTTTGTAATTTAAAGAACCATTTATAATTTGAACTTGCATTTTCACATTTATCTCATGAGTAAATTGGCCTTCTCACCTGCTGGATTTTGCTAAAGCAAGACACTACGTGCCAAGGAGATAATAGAACAAATTGTGATCAGGAGTATCAAAACTTCAATAGCTTTTACTTTTTACATGCTGATTGTGTTAATAAGTATCTTAAAATCTGTTTGTACTATCTTTACTTTTTTTTTTTTTTTACAAATAGTTTATTGTCAAATTAGTTTCCACATAACACTCAGTGCTCATCCCCACAAGTGTCCTCCTCCATGCCCATCCCCCCCTCCCCCCCCACATCCATCAGTCCTCAGTTTTTGTCAGCATTCAAGAGTCTCTCATGGTTTGCCTCTCTCCCTCTCCCCCACCATTTCCGCCCTTCTTCTCCCCCTTGTTCCTCCGTCAAGTTCCTCCTAATCCTCCTATACGTGCAAACATATGATATTTGTCCTTCTCTGCCTGACTTATTTCGCTCAGCATAACCCCCTCAAGGTCCATCCATGTTGCTACACATGGCCAGATTTCATTCTTTCTCATTGCC